ACGCAGGTTTGCTCCGGAAAAGTCTGCCGAGTCCAGGATAGCACTGTCCAACACAGCACCTGACATATCGGCGAAAGTCAAGTCCGCGCCGTTGAGTTTGACGTCCTTTACCAAGGCTTTGCCAAAGAATGCTCCGCTCAGCGAGCTTCCAGTTAAATCTGCGCTGGAAAGGTCTGCTGCCTCCCACCGCGAGCCGCCGGCTGCCAAGCCAGATAGAATGGCCCTGGGCAAGCAATCTCCGCTGACAAGCTGCGACCAGACAAAAACCAGGCTAAGTTTGCTTGCCTCTCTGGCTACAAGTACTGTATGTTTTGTGCTGTCGACAGTTTTGATTTCAACTCCCGGCCCTCGAAGGCACACGTGGTCAAAGTTGGTCTGCTTGGCACTGGAGGCGGCAAGCTTCACAGCTTCGAGATTGGCGCCATTCAGTTGCGCCTCGTCTAAGGCAGCGCCTGCAGGATTTCACGGAAGGGATGTCTGGCATCACTTTGTAATCACTGTAGTCTATCCAAATTCTTATAATTCTATGAGATGAAGCCACGGAAGGTCCACCTGACAGATCCCGACAGGCACCTTCAGCCGAGAGCCGTGCTAGGTTGGAGTTGTGCAGCTTGGCTTTCTGTAGTCCGATACCTTTCCAGAGCGAAACCCCTTTGCAGACATCGCTATTTGCGAAATGCAACACTCGTAGCAGTCTCATGAACTGCTTCCGTGTTCATCCAAGCTACCCGCGGCGTTTGCATCTGAGAAGTCGCACTGCGAAAGGTCCGATTTGGTCATGAGTGCACCGCGCAAGTCCGACTTGTGAAATGCAGCGCCTGACAGATGAGCCTTGGCAGTGCTTCCCGAAAGTGGTGTCGGACGTGGTCATTTGCATTATCAGGCCACGTGCCGTGGGCGATTTGATTGCAACCACATCACTGTAGCTGATGCAAGCCCTGGCCCCTAATAATCACCAAGAGCCCGAAATCCTGAATCCCGACCGTTTTGAACTTTAAACATCTTTAAACCACCCAGCCAAGGATGCAAACAAACCTACCTTTGGGTATCAATCGGGACTGTTTGGAAGGCTGACGATCATGCTCAGCGTTCGGGAAAGCTGCCGGCATAGACCGGGGTATGTGGTGTAGGGTTTGACGGGCGGTCAACAAAAGCCCACATTTTGCCGTTCATCGTGTTAAGAGACAACGTTGTGGCCAAGATGCTTCTTCGAAGCTGCTCTGCCGCAAGTCCTTGTGCTGTGTCGTGAAGTCTCAGCACGGACTGCCAACTGGCTTGCAGCGTTCATCTGATGATCAACTGAGTATACTGCACATGTGTACATGTGTATATGTATATACACATATTGCATATGCGTATATGTATATACATAAACTTTTGTATATAATAACGCTATCATCAAATGCAAGTCTCAGTACTGATCGATGATGTCACCTGCCAGTGAAGTCCCTGATCAATGCCCCGCTCACCTTGATATGGGCTATAGTAGGGATGCCAATGGTCCAAACATAGGAGTTGCACAAAAACAAATTACTCATCAGGGGTCTGCATTAACTACTGTTTGGCATTTCGCTGTGGAAGATGAGGAGGCTCCACTGTGTTCACAAAACTGATCCCAACAACTGCAAAGCGTCCGTCTCCGCGAAACTTGATGAGTCGACCTTAGCATCGTCGAAAGAAATTCCGACAAGCTGAGCCGTGGCCAAACTGACCTCGGCTGCATGGCGGAAGCTGAACTGCTTTGGCAGCCCTTGGCTTGGCTTCAAAAGCAATCTGAAGATCTGTGGTGTATCCAATTGCCGTACAGGGACGTTTGTCAGCTTGCTACTTCTGCATAAGGCTCGTGTCAAGTTGGCTCCTTTCGGCACCAAGGTTTCAGATGCAAACTACACAAGGCCACAGTCCGTCCCCTGGCCGCCCTGGCCTGTCAGATCTACGGCTTCCAACTGTGCACCACATAGGTTAGACTCTGCAGCATAGCTGTGCGCGAGAACCGCGTTCTTGATTACAGCCTCCATGCAGGGGCAGATGCGTAATGAGTTAAATTAGTACTATGCCGCACACGAAACAGTGTCAACAGCAGGCCACCTTCATCAATGATGCCTTTCCCAGCTTGGCGCGCAGCGCATGAGAGTCCACAAGCGTGATGGAGTGCAAGTCCTGTTGGCCAGCTTTGGGCTTTAGAGTTTGCCCAGCGATTCTGGACTTCCAGTCCATAGCTGCAGGCTGCAGACACTCAAAATGCACGTGGCAGCACCACATCCGTCCGCAGCGCTGAGGTCGACGTCGTCAAGGTTACATTCTTCGAGGCGTGTGGACCGCAGGCTGGCAGACCTCAGAAGGTTCAGAGCGCACCCGTGCCTGCTTGGACGCCGCAACGACCGCGGCCTAAGCTTCGCCCGGAGGAGGTTGGCCTTCGACAGGACGGCACCATCCAGGATGCAGCCAGTCATGTCAGCATCCTGATTTTCTAGATTGGGAAGCAATCCCCCAACGACGGCCTCGCTTGTCTCTAGACTGCAAAGCTTTATGCCCAACGTCCTCGAAGTTGGACCCTTCGAGTCTGCTGTTGGCCAAGACAGCACGTTGGAGGCTGGCATGCTGGAAGTTGGCCTGGCTAAGGTTCGACGTCCGCATGGAGACACCTCGGTGATCTTCCAGCCGCATCCAGCAGCCCACGTGCCGATGTCGCTGCTAGCTACTGCCCAAGGCACCATTAAGGCTTGCGTCAGTAAAGTTCGCATCCACCGCGTTTGCCTGACCCAGCCTGCAAGATGCAACCGCTCCGACTGTGAAATGCTGAAACTGAAATCTAAGGAGGCAGCTGTGCGGCATCCAGCATGGCTTCGCAAAGGTTCGCACCCTCCAGGCAACAGGCAGTCATATTGACTTTGCCTCCAGGAAACATCAGACATCCATGAGAAGCCAAAACGCAAGCCGGGGCATCGCTTGCAGCAACTCCAATACTTGCAGCTGCGGGTCCTAGGCTGGCATTGTCGAGGCGACACCGTCGGAGAGTTGCTTTCCGGAAGCTGGCATTCTCCATAAACGCCTCCTGCATATTGTGGCCTTCGAAGTTGATGGAGTCCAAGCAGACATCTGCCAGCATGGCCCTTCTGAGGCTGCCGTTCTTCAGCAGCTGTTTTTGTACTTCGGCGGGAAATTGCTTCGGCTCGGAAGGAAGCACTTTTTGAGTGGCTGCTGCACTGGAACCGGTGTCTTCAAGAGCAGTCATTTCAACAGGCTCCACTGGAGGAGACGCCTGGAGCGGCACGAAGCGCGCAGTCAAGTAGGCCAATACCTGCACAGCCAATTTGATGATCGCCGCCGACGGTGCGTCTGCCTCAGCCGAGCTACGAATGCCGTTCTTTAAAGTCTGAGTGCCCCCGTTGATCGGTCTGAACACGATGCTCTCGGATACTGTAAGGTCCAGTCCTCCAGTGACTGCGGCCGACGAAGAAGGTCTCGGGCCTCCTCGAACTGTTTGCGAGAGACCTCGTCGAGGACATGGACCAAAGCGTCTACATCCCCTGGCAGTCGACCTCAGATTGAAATTGGGACAGAAAATTCTTTGCATCTCTGATCTTGTTGCACAGTGCTGCCAGAAAACAGCGTTCCAAAGGCCCAGTTTTCGAGCCATCGGAAGGCAGCAGCACCACCAGAGCTCGCAATGCACGCCGTGTTATGCCGGCGGCTGGCTCAGTCTGCAACTTTGACCTGCGGCACTGCTATAATCAAGGCCGTCATCAAACAAGCCGTTGCTTGCCAGAGCGTGATACACTCAGGATACCCAGGTGGGCTGGGTAATTTTCTGCGCAGGAGGAAACACTGACCAAACCGCGTCAGGCTGAAAAAATGTGGAAAAAGTTGCTGGCCCGTCCGCGAGACGATGCGGGCTTTATTTATTTTGTGACAGCAACACAACTTTTCGGATTCACATTGCAATAGGGACAGGCGCAGCAGAGTCTTCTGACTATTCTGGTTCTGAGCAGTCTGCAAGTTCTGGGGAACGCTTACCTTGCTTACTTGAGGCCCGCAGATGTCTGCAAGCTCGTGCGCCGCCGAGAAGCGGAGGCTCTGCTTTGCTTGTTCAGGCCAGTTCAGGCCACACCCACTAAGCCCGAATTTCGCTCTCGTCCAGTTGCTCCATTCTTTACTAGTTGTTCTCGGCCCCTGTTCAATGCCAGAAAAGCTACAACATGCCCAAAGTCGCATGCCAACTGTTACCTATGCTCTTCGTGGGGACGCTTGTCTGCTCTCTCACTGTCTCTCTCCGGGGCATGAAACGCGTCTGAAGCTCCTCGAATCGAACGCCCTCTCTCTCTGCCGGCGCCGGGAGGCCCGCCTCAAGATCCGCAGGCCTCTAGAATCTTGGAGCACGCTCCACAAATCTGCCAGGCTTTCTCCCAGTTCTCTGGAGAGGCGAGGTCGGTGCGGGACTTCCTCGGCATTCTGGGTCCTTCCAAGTCTTGGGTATTGCCAGGCTTCAACGCCCGTCAACCGCTAGATGCAATGTTACTGTTAGACTACAATTAGAATATGACTATGTGACTATGACTGGCAAATACCACGAGAAGCTCTCCTCGCCACACGTTGCGCAGCGCGAGGCCGGCAAATCCGCAGGCGAGGGCCGCTTGGCGGCGCTGGTGTCCAGTCGCGGTCGGGGCCGCCCCATGCACCTGCGTGCAGGAGGCGAGGCGGTTCTCCATCTCACCGTAAGGCAGAAGTTGTGGCAGAGAGCGGAAAGAGCTCCTGTCCAAGGATAGGTCTCGGGTTTGTGGAGCTCCGGCTTCTTCGGGGCCTTTGCCAGCGTCAACCTGATCTCGCTCGTGAATGTCTTACAGCAAAGAACTTGAGGTACCCTTTGGAACAACCTCCGCTGGCCTGCTCGAGGCATCTCCGAGCGAGCTGAGCTTCTGCATTGAATCATCGACGGAGGCACGGTCGAGTCAGCGGGCCATGTGTGAAACCCTGCTTAGACGAAGACTCTCTCTCCTCGCCTAGCTCCTAGGTACTTGCCCCACATTGCCTTGAGCAATCGTTGCGGCTGGGGCTTCTTGTTTAGCTGCTGGGATGTAGGTAAACGATCGCGGCACTGTAGAGACACGACACCCGCGAGCACTTCTGTGAGAGCTGTCCGGGGTGATCTTGGCCACGCCGACGCCAGGACCTCTCAGACAAGCTAGCACGAAGCAAAGCAGTGCCTGCCAGCAAGCAGACCGATCTGAGTGCCAGGCGATTCGGGAAGTTGGCTGGAACCAGGCCAAGTGGTTTGGGAATCGTCACCTGTCGCATTGGTGTGGCGAGCAGCCCATTGCCAAAGGCCGCTCAAGCTGCCGCAAGTAGAAACTCCCGAGCTTAGTTCAATGTGAATGCCAGGCTGCATCGAAAACGGCGCGTTCGCCCTCAATCATCTTTACACGCTTCACCCAGTCCTGCTGCAAATCTCCAGGGTCTCAAAACTCCCCTCGCGGAGGCTGCGGAACAGGACCTCGGGGTCAAAGTCCATGTATTCCTGCACTTCGGCATGTCGCGCCACTCCTCGGGCCTTTGCGATGTGCTCCCGATGCTCTCGAGACTACGCTTGCAGCACGGACCCCTGCAAAGCGAGCCGTACTTTTGCAGCCGCGGAGCCGCCCCTTTCTGCACCGCTCGCCTCAACGGATGGGGCTTTGATCGAGCTTGCGACAGACGGTAATGTAACACAGGCTACATGACCGAATCATTATTGCAAATCACGCCCCCGCACCCGACATCGCGCAAGTAGGACTTCAGATGCAAACATGCAATTCAAACGAGTGCCCGTGGAAATGCTCAGAAAATGTTGTTACGCTGAATACCCATGTGCTCGATCTAGCGCCGAAACCCAAATCTCAATACGAAGGTGCCTGTTGGCTACAATGCCTGCTGCCAATGCCGTGGCGGCAGCTGCAAGTGCTGACGAACCTTCAGCGGTGAACGGCTGCATCGAAACACCGGTCCTCTAGCCTGGATGTTTGCAGCATTGCAACTCCGCATTCGTGTTGTACAGGCCTCTGTCCGGAAGCTGACGCGTGACACGGTCTGGTCTTGACGGGAGCCTGCACCGTGCTAAGGGCCCGATGTGCCAGCATCAAGCAGTACAGTACCTACCTACACGACTGAGCTGAAATCCATTCTGTGTCTGGCAGGGCAGCGCAAACAACATGTCTCTATTTTGCCTCAGCTGCGTTTTATCCTGCAATTTGAAGAACTGACTTCGATTCCAGACGACATGCAACCAAGCGACAACCGATAATCAACACCGATGTTCCTATCCCTGCCTGGAACTTAGTAGATTTCGGTCTGGGGTGCGGAAAGGAACGGAGCATGCTTGGAAACCCTCTCGCCTTTCCACCGGACCTGCAGATGGCGCCATTCCAAAGGCAAAGGCCTCAAACCAACCAGGACCGCTTAGGCTTGCAAAACCCTATTGGCAAGAGAGCATGGTCATGAAACAAGTACACTGGTGACAGAAACTTGGCTCTCTCTTCTTCAGCTCAGCCAGAGGGGTCAGCGTGCGCTTGACCCCGCGCGACTCTATCTTGTTCTTCTTCCTCAGGGCATAGGGAGCGTCTGAAGCTCCCTGGCCACTAAGGCCCCCGAGTTTTTGGGGCGTATTGAAGGGCTGTGTAAAGCACACTCCCTCAATCTCTCTCTCTCTCTCTCTGTCTCTCTCTTCTTCCCCAGGGCATAGGGGGCGTGTCAAACCCCGCGGCCTATTGGCCCCCAACTTGTTACGGGGCTTTCGGGGGCGCGTGTGAGAAGTAGCTAAGTAGCTTGAGTATCGCGTGTTTTCAACAACTTCAGACTGCACGCACACACACACACACACTCTTCTTCATCAGGGCATAGGGGGCGGTCAAACCCCCTGGCCTCTAGAGGCCCCCCAGTGTTTGGGGTTCTCTTTGAGGTGTGAAAAACTGCACACACTTTCTTTCGACAGGGTTGTGGGCCCGAGGGTTGCCCCCCTGGCCCGCGGTCTGCGCCCCCGACCGTTTTGGTGGGGAATGGAACGAAAAGCATGCACCAATAAGGCCATTTTTAACTGCACCCACTCTCCCTCTCTCTCTCTCTCTCTCTCTCTCTCGACCTTCTCTCTATACAGGAGGAAGCAGCAGTCCAATTGCCAAAAGGTCCCCTTTCCCAGGTTCGCGGAAAAAGGCTCGGCTGCACGAGAGAAAACGGAAAGAAAAGACCGGCCAGCGAATCCCCCGAGTCCTAACGCGCTGACCAGTCAAAGGCACAGCAGGAAAAGTCTGCACTCCTTGCTGCTGCGAGCAAGTATACTTCGGAACGCCTTTGAGCGGAACAAACTGAATTAAAGCCTCCTGCCTTGTGAATTCCCAGAAGCACGAGTGGTGGAATCAGCGTTGTAAAGAACCTAGGATTGAGGCTGTTCGGCCCAAGCTGAATGGAGTTTACCTGACAAGAGCCAACTTCATGGCCCGCTTAAAGAATTCACCCCTCCCCACAGGCTCGCAACCAGCGAAACTCGAAGCAACTTGTATACAATGGTGGATTGGGCGACACGAGGGGACAGAGGAATACATTATGCGAAGCACACCGGATTCCTGTACGTCTCATGCCCCTAAGGACAGTGCAGACATCCGAATTTTACGACTTTTCAGGACACGGCTCACTCGGCTCAGAGCTGTTTCCCCTTCCCCTTGTCATCTCCAAACAGCTTGGCGTCTCCGGTCCTCTCTCCTGTGCTGCTTCTGAAGTTCACGTTGCCTGAACTTGTCTGAACCCCGGTGAACATACTCCCCCAGTGAAGCGGCAGAGTCGTCAAATTTTACCGGGTTGGCTGTCCATTGCGATCGTCACTAGGTCTAAGTCACCGGTCTTGCTGAGGTCACGAACACTCAGGTGACGGGTTCTGCAGGCACCGAGTGGCCGACAAGGGGCCAAGTAAGACAATGAGGAAGTCTGTCACCCCCTCCTCCAGCCCTTGGATGAAGATCCTGCAGTCCCCCGGTTGAGTGTCGTGTTACGACCTTGCCGTTGTGGAGTGTCGGCGGCTTTTGTAGTTTTCCTTGGATGGAGGAGTTGGGCGCGCGCGAGGCCTCCGAAGGCACAGTGTAAGGAGGCCCGCAGCGCTTGAAGAAGAAAGCAGGAGAGTCGTCTGCCGCCCCGCCCCCGCCCCGCCCACCCCCGCCGCTCGATCCAAGACTTACAAACCAGGGGGAGGAGGACCGCAAGCCACAGAGCTGTCGAGGTTTTCCGGCGAAGAGCTTGTATCCGCCTTTGCGACGCATACATGGAAGAGAGTACCTTCGAGCGTGCAGATTGGCCCCCTGCGTGTCCAGCTGCCTACGTCACCAGAGGGGGAGTTGCCTTGAGGCAACCTGAAAGCAAAACTCTCCGCAGCTCTTGATCAGGGAGGAGGGGAAGAAACGCTATCTGCTCGGACGCAAAGAATTTCAGCTTTCATGGGGGATAACGATAGTGCAACTTCGAGACCAGAAAAAGAACGAAGACTACATCCAGCTGGGGGGAAGCCGAAAGACCTCCCCTATGACGTCGGCACCCTCTACGCAATGACACCTGTAGACCACCTCTTCGCAGAGGGTTCAGGAATGCTGGTAGGAAAAGGCAGTGTGAGCGCAAGGTTCGGGTTTCTTCGGTGGGGATCAGGCGGTGTACGGGTCTTAGTGCACCAGTTTGCAAGCTGAAGCCAGGGGAACAGTCGTCCTAATATTCCTTTAGAGCTTTTAACCTTCCTTGCAAAACATCGCCTGGCTTCCAATTCATTACCCATCCGGGAGAACTCAAAGTTTATGGGGACACCCAACAACTCTACGAAGTCTCGAAGATTCGCAGACTACCCTGTCCTTACCCCTCTGTAGTTGCTGTTGTGTCTCTCGTCGTGGCGACAACTAAACCGTCGAGGCTTCACTACAGAATCCTAGGCGAAACCTCCAATGCAAGGGGACCACAAGCTGTCTTGCTAGGCACATCCTGAAGCAACAGACGAAATGCCATGGTGATACGCCCTTAAACTGCAGTTCCATGTGTTTCCTTGAAATGGCATCGTCATAGCCTGCCCCAACCTGACATGTCGCTGTACATGGATGTTGATAGGTTGGTTATCTTTTTCTTGAAATCCCGGCACGGAACATCGGGGACCTTGATTTCTCACACCGAGGCGGGGGAACAGCACAACGCTAGGAACCTGGGAAGACAATGACGAGCTGCGTGCATGCGCGTGGGGGGTACTTACGGGCACTTTCCTCCGTAGCTGCCAGCAAGCAAGAAAGAGAGAGCGAGTGCCAAGGTCAACGCTCCAGGTGCCTACATGGGCTCAAGGGGGGTTTGGGGGCTTCTGTAACCATCTGTCCAAAAACTGCCGCCAATGCCTCTGTCGTTGGCCAATTATTCTGCAAGTGCTCGATGTAGGATGCCGTGGTGGTTGGCAATTCCCCCCAATTTCCCCGAGCTCGAGGAGAAGTGGCGGGGTTTGTGGAGCCCAGTCACTAGCCATGTCTCGCTCCTCGATCACTTTCATCTTCGCTGCAGAAAGGGGGAGTGTGTAGCTCGCTCCAGTCGGGCTCCTCTTTGACTTGTAACTCGACTTGTGCTGCAACCTCCTGCTTGTGGTGGCTTGCATACCTTCCAGCGGCATCAGCGATGTTCTCTGACTGCTGGGGGAAGGTTCTTGTCCTTCCGCATCCCCAGGAAGGCCGGGCAGCTGCATCTTGGATTGCAGTATCTTACGCACCTGTTCAGGAGGAACACCAAGCTGGGTGTGCCATCTGACCTTGCATGCTGACCATATCGAGAAGGCTTGAAGAGGGTCCCCCCGAAGTAGAGCGAAAACTCTGTTCATCAGTACAAGCCTATGGTCATCAATGCACTGCATGCTTTGTTTAAAATTCGTGGCGGCGAGGGCTTCTCTGCGCTCCGGGGCGAGTTCTTTCACTTGGTCCCCCGGGCGCACCTCCATGGAACTGACCAAACCTCTTTCTGTGACGTTGAAGAGCGTGCTGTCTGCATGGTCCCCACCTACGCTCATAGAGTGAGCGTATAAGGCATCGGACTGTCTGTTGTTGCAGAGGGGTGCTTCTGATCGGATTACTCATTGGAGAAGGGCTCGAAGAGCTGGCGTCTGAGTCGGTCTCTTCGTCCCCGCTGCCGAGGCCGAAGGTTCCCCATGCACTGGAGATGCTAGCTCTGCTTTGGCTGGGTCCGGGCTGTCTTCCCCCCGCGAGGCCAGAGCTCTCTGCTGACTATTTCGACGGCTTGTTTGACAGGATGCTGCGGGTTCACCATCAAGGGGCCTTCAGCAAGTAAATCTTCGCTCTCTCTGTGTTGCCTTGCTTGCTTGCTCCCAGCATCTCCCAGCCTTTAGGAACCCCCCCCGAATACAGCGGGTGCTTTGCCGTGAGGGGCATGGGCCGAACAGCCCCCCTCGACCCGCGCATTTGCGCAAACCCATCCATCATTGTGGACAGACGGGTTCGGCTGTAAAGAAAGAGCGCGTGCGTCAGGAGCAGCACAAAGCCTGGCGCTGTACACTGTAGTGCACAGGCCGTCTTTCTTTCTTTCTTTCTGCAAGTGTGCGGAAGGGGTTACTGTAGGCCGTCTTTTTCCACACAGCCAAGCCTGCCCTCCTCCTCCAGTTGCGATTGGCGGTGGAGGTTTTGTTTTGGGGCGTCTTTTCCGCCAGGTTTGAGGGGCAGGTCAGGCCCCCCCCGGCCCATAGGGCCCCCCATAGTTCATGGGGCTTGTCGGGGGAGTCAGCACACTTGGGGCGTCTCTTGCTTGCTTGCTTGCTTGCTCGGGGTATGGGGGCCGAAGCCCCCTGGCCCGAAGGCCTACCCCCACAAAGGCGCGCTCCGGTGTGTCTGACGTCTCTCTCTTTCTTCGCCAGGGATAGGGACAGGGGTTGCCCCCTGCCGTCTCTCTTGCTTGCTTGCTAGCAGCTACGAGAGGGTGCACCCGTAAGGAAACCCCCCCCCACGCGCTGCGCGCAGCCGTGTTCCAGGTCTTCTGAGGTTAGCTATATTAGCCATCCCCAGCTCGGCGTGAAAAGGGCTTCAACCTTTGGTTCTGACCGATTGGTCCCCCGAAGCAGCAGGTTAGCGGCTAGTGCAACAACAGCTTCACTAGTCACAGTTATCGGTCAGGTCTCTCTCTCTCTCTCTCTTCTGTTCTCCGGGGTGCAGGGGACGTGTCAAGTCCCCCGGACCGATTGGCTCACCCCTGTTTGAAGGCTGGTGCTCTGAATGCTTGTTTTGAGAAGGGGCTGCAGTGCGCAGGCAATCGCTCTGAATATCTGAATGTATGGTTCAAACAACATGCCCTGCACCAGCCTTGCCAAGCAGCGCCATTGCTAATACAAGCGACTCGCCGAGTGAAAATGGTGCTCTGGTAAGGCCGGGGAGCTACTTCAGAGAATGAGGTGCCAGCTAGTGCTGCTTTTTTGTCGTCATGCGGCGGCAGCAAGCAAGAGCAGATCAGAACGGATCAGCTGCCACTCCAAATTCAGAATTGAACTCAAGGTACTCAAGGTCTGATTTTCCTCAACAACAAGCAGCAGCGACAGCGCTTCCGTCTTCATTTATGGGCACGCAGCAGACGCATGGCGAAGAAGCGAACAGCCTGGCAGGTTGGGCACGTTTGTTTGGGTCTACATGATTATGTATGTATGTATGTATGTATGCATGCATGTACACATATATGTGCTTCAGATTTATGTAAGCAACCCGCCCCACCGCGACGGGTTTCACAGAATGAAGTAAAGTTGTCAAGTGAAGTATGGAAAAGATGACTTCTATAAGGCTTGGAGAAAAAGGCTTTTCGGAAGGGTAGATTTCGGAAGGCCACTTAAATATTACTTAGATATGGCTTCTCGGCGGGTGTAAGCATGATTCGAATATGACTTTAGGGATCGAACGTCGCAGAGGCCAGGAGGTCTGGTGGCGAACAGGTTTGCGGCTCGCGACCTAGGGAAGCCCAGGCCAAGGAGGCCCAGGATGGCCCAGGTGCAGCATGGGCTGGGTCACCCAGGCGAAGCGGGGTGAGGGATCAACAAAAAGCAATTATGAAATTAAACAAAAGCAATAAGCGGACGTAATAAAAACACAAAAATGCATCAACAAATGAATAAAATCCTGTCTTTGGCTGGGCTGGCTGGGCGGGGTTGGGATGGGGTGGGGCTGCGGCTGCCATGCGCTTTGCAAACCCAAAGCCCGCCAGGTCGCAGCTAAAGGGTAGCTCACGGTGGCGGAGGTGCCATATGCACATGCATGCACATACATAGACTCCCATGATCAAAAAACTTGAATATGTACGTGCAGATAGATGGATAGGTAGACAGATAGACGGATAGATAGATAGACAGACAGACAGATAGCTAAATCGAGAGACTAGATAGACAGATAGATAAATAGATAGATAGGTAAATATATAAATAGCTAGGCAGACAGACAGACAGACAGACAGACAGACAGACAGACAGACATCATGTTCCCATGTATGTATGTACATATACATAAAGCAAATTATAGAATACATAAATAAAATTAAACAAAGATATATGAATGCATGCTTATACAAATATAATAATATCTGTGCATGTGTGTGTATATACATGTACATGTATATACATATGTGCTTGCCAACTTAAACTCCCTCAAACTGACACATTGCCCTGGTCCACATACGACGGCATCGGGGCTTCCTCCGATCTGGCAGAATCTGCTCAACACGTTAGCTAAGCTGACATCTCCATGGAAGCCTGGCAGGGAGCGGGCGGCGGGCCGTCTTTTGCTTCGCAAGGCGTCTGCCAGCTTCCTACCGCAAAAGCGCTTCCTCCTGCCAGCCTCTCGAAAGCCTTCAGCAGGTCGCACTGACTGAATAGATTCCTACTTTCAAACGCAGAGGTCCAAGCACGGTAGGTCATCACCTTCATGCTAGGACTCGCATTTGAAGCTACTGAGCTACTGGTAATGCCAGCGTATTGCTGATCTGCGAGGGTGCGGCAGCAGCTGGTGATCAGCTACCGGGCATACTCACAAGCCTGCACTTGAACTCGTGTGTATCCTGCCCCTCGATGAAGCTGTGCCGCTTCAAGGCATAGATTCTACGCAGCCGGAGATTCCTTCAGCTTTACAATAACCACGGTCATGTTGTCCGTGCCAAGTCCCTGGGTCTTGCTCGGGTCCTGAGGTGAAGCAACGAAGCATCAGGCAATTGCCGCGTTCTACTCGTCTACGCAGTCATGCTGAAGTTCTACTGCCTGACAGCCCTCTCAACGTGTCCTCGGAACAACAATGCTCCAATAGCTCCTCTGCAATGGCCTTTAGCTCCAAGCCTTTTTCCTCAGCTCCGCCCCACAGTGTGCAGCCAGAGACGCTGCACCCTTCTGCACTCTCCTGCAGAATTTGATCAAGGGGGTCTTTGGTTCTTTGGTTTGACTAAGCGTGTGCGGCACAAGTCTCGAGCCGTGGCCTCACAAAGTCGCAAATGTCCTGAGAAATTTGCACGATTTTTTTGCGGGATTTGTGAGCACTTCTGTACCCCTTCACTGGATGATCCGCTCGATGCTGCAGCTTCGGACACTTAAGCCGAGCCGGCCTGGTTGGACATGACATCCCAAATGCCGTCGCCTCAGCCATTTCGTGTCCGAACATGTCCGAACAAGACCAAGTATTCCATACCAGCAAACAATAGTCAAAACATGCGCGTTTTTGTCAGGCTGCCATCCACAAGGTCTAGGCTGACAAGGACACGACTTAAGTTCTGAACCCTGGGCAATCCACGTTTGATCACCTTGTCAACTCTGGGATGCCGTTCAGTCACATGCCAGAACGATGAACTCATCTTCCGCCGTCAAGTCGCGAACCACCACATCCGGGGTGGAGCATATCACTTGTTCCTGAAACCGCGCTGCAGGTCACATCAGTTTCACCTGTTACTCATTGGCGGTACCGGTAGAAACAGGCTGCTGCTAGCTACTGTTGCCGACTGAAGGATGCGCGGCCTGCGGAGGCAGGTCGGTTCGCCTCTGTACAATGTGATGGAGAGATACTTGCAGAGTCGGAACCGAACAGATGGCAGAAAGCAACTCGCCAGGACACTTCTTGTACTCCAGATCGCCAATGGCACGGCTGAGATTCAAATTCCCGTTCACGCGGGGAACACCTTGACTGTCCTGGACGGGCTTCAACGGGCTTCTAGAGCAGCAAAGACAGCGAATCCGAAGCAGACCTGGCAGAGCTCTCGCCTCCACAGTGCCGCCTGCGGCCTCGATCCGGCTCTTTTCGGTCTCAGATGCAGGCCTCGGAAGCCAAGTGACTAAGTGAGCTCAGACAGCAGAGGAATCAAAAAAAGACGCTTGGCCGAGAAGCTTGTGGTCGTACGAAAGCTCCAATGCTTTCCCAGCCCGGCACATCACTGCACGGCTGTCCCCGGCATTTGCTGTTATCACATCCTGCCAGGAGACGGCTGGGCAGGGCCTACAGTACACGATCTGCAGTTGGTCACAAAGCTGTTCTGCATGCCTACCTGCTAACTGCCCCACTGATCCCACTACCCAAGTTCCCAACAGCGCGTGACCCTTTGGAGTAGGTCAGAGTAAACAGGATTTGGTTAGGCGGCACACGAAGTGAGTGTGGCGGCTGCCGTCTTCGGTGTGGCGCAGCGGACATTTTCGCCTACGGTCGCGTTCCATATCGTTCCTCCCTGTTCCTGTCCCACTAGGGCCCGTCCCGGATGAGTCCTGTTCTGCCGTGCGTATTTTGGTGTGTTCTTCGATGGAACATGATGTAAATCGTGCTCCAGCCATTCTTACTTGCAATGCGTTCCAAATTCCTATTGCACCCTAAAGTCCTAAAGTTCTATACCAGGGCCACACTAGTCTCCTCCTCAGGGCCGTAGGGTTTGGCGAAGTCTTCAATTGTGATGTGTTCTCGTCAGTGTTGTCCGTATTTTGGGGTGCCTGCGTGTGTTGCATGTCCGCCTCCATGCGGTGGTCTTGGGAACTTCAGGTGTGGACCGCTGGGTCTGCTAGGTGCTCTGAAGGCTTTCGAGGCTTGTTCGAGCAGCACTGGCTGAACATACTGCTGAATGTCTCGGTTAGCCATGTCAGATGTGGCCCTAATCTTGTGTTCGCGGCTTGTGATAGCTGGGCGAAGTGCCTTGATTGCTACGAGTACTAGGTACTAGTGCACAGCCGGAGACAGAGACGAGTCCTGCTTGCGAACCACGACGCACACGGCCGTGCAGCCCACCGTATCCGGAACAAACTCATCCTCAACGGAAGGCAAGCAGATGAACTTCGCTGCTCGGGACGTTCGTGCTTGCTGCCATATCGACTGGAGCTGCGATACTGTTGAGGGTGCCACACCCTTCTCTGCCTGCTTGAGTTTCTGCAACTTGATGAACGACTCCTTCATTTCACTGTGCTCCTGATAGCTGGGCTGTTGACACCCAAAAGAGCAGAAATGCGCAGTAGCTTGAGACACTAATGCAGCTGAAAATCTCCGTCCAACAGTTTTCCTGTCCTGACTGGCAGGCAGAAACAAGCTGAACTGTCGGCACGTCTGCATGGTCTGCCTCCGCTATTGCGAAATGAGAACTCCGACTTCTGCCAGCTCCAACTTCAATGCGGGAGTCTGAGAGCGCTGGTGCATGTTAGCGAGCTTCTTCTCCAACTCCTCTCCAAGTCATGGTGCATTCACCAGGTCACGCAAACCGGCGGCATGATGGCCTTTCGGCTGAGTCTACATCTACGCAGTATTTCGATGCGGGTCTGCATTCCTGGATGGCACCCGTCGGGACTTTGCCCATAAAACGTGCCAGCACCTTTCAACATTCTGCAGTGCGTCGGTTGTCCACAAGCTTTTTGGATTTGCATGTTCTTGCAAAAGGTGCCTTTGCCAGATTGCAAGGTCCCTCGTGCGACAAACCACAGCGCTTCTCTAAACTCACAGGGCTTGTGCTATACCAATCAATTCGTGCAAATGCCCATCGCATGCTTCCAAGTGGCCTTCGCGTTGGCTGGCTCGCGCAGTTGATCGTCCATTCTGTGAAACGAGGCCTGGTGTTCTGATACCCTCACAGCCTTTCTTCCATTGACGGGCAGCTTGACTTTGCCTTGAGGATTTCCTCCAAATCTGACGCTTCCAGATGGACGCCGCAATGGCGCTTCTTGTTCTGACAATGCATCGAACTGAGTTGATTGCACTTGATCTCCCAGCTGGGTGTTGAGATGAGCCCGGGACCTTGTTCTTGCCGAACTTGGACCGCCCCATGCTTGCCGTGGTCTGGATAAGCTCAGGCATGAATTGCTGCCTCAGCTGCGAAGCTCATGATTCAACCCACAAGAAGCACGATCAAACGACGGTACATGAAGGGACTGCCGGACCAAGCTGCTTGCAAAACTTTGAGACAGCCTTGCCACCTCGGTCGCGCACTTGGAATCTACTGCCTTTCAAGCCTGATTCCACGGTTGTGGTTGCTGTTGCTGTTCTTGTTGCTTTAGGCCTTTGCTGTTGCGGTCATGGTTGTCGCTGCTGTTGTTGTTGTGGTCGTCGTCATCTTCGTTGAAAGCTGATGATCTCGGCGTCCGGCTAGGTGCCCCTATGGCACCATGGGGGCTTAGCAGGCTTAGCATAAAGCTGCCGCTGATGTGAGCTAAGCCGCCGTGGCCATCGAAAACACAGTAAACGCCACAGCCCGCAAACCTGAGTGATGTTGCTGCCATGGCAGAAATTGAAAAGAGAGATGATACGAGAGAAGGCTGAAGTCTGGGGCTCGCGACTCGTCTCCGACGTTCGAGCTTGCGATGTGCTCGTCCTCCATATCTGGTCTCCAGCCCTGCATATCTGCTGCTACCCATTCCATCCGCTCATCGCCTGTGCACAGGCGCGCTTCACACCGATTCGGGCTCTGCAGATATTTGGATAGCGGCCGCTGGTCGCGGCCCCAGCCCTGGAGCCCTTCCAAAACCCTAAACCCCTCAGGCCTCCCGTGTCAATCCGCTTCTCTTTCAAAGGCCTGTCTAGCAGGCCGCCCATTGCGCGCAATAATCTAAACTCTGGCAGTGCGGGGCACGTTGACAAGGCTTCCTGCTGCTGGGTGTTGCTCGCTGCTGCAACACACACCTATGGAAACTGTACAGATGGTCATGGTCAGGAAATTAACACAACATCCATTGAACCGACCAGCAGCTTCAACGGAAGCATCGATACATGCTGTCAACACGTGGACATCACTTCATGCGAAAGCAGTACATGTGGTGACCTCGGCGTTTGTAGCCGTGACGCCATGGCTTCGCCAGCATCAAGGCCCATGCCACATGTCAAAGTGCCAGAACCGCACAATCCTCTGTCTTGCGGTCTTGGGCTTGCCGATGCAAGAGCTGAAACCAGCTGACACCTATCATCTAGTTGCAAGTTTTTCTGCCGAAGGAACAACATGCAGCCTTTTCGGGTCACAGTTAGCCAAACACACGGGCTCTAGCGGAGTCTACTTTGTCGTCATCGGGCATCTTGTTCGTTTTGGATGTTTGTGCACAGTACCCAAGAACATCGGGCAACCTGCAGGCTTTGAGCGCTCTGCGATCCGCGCCTGTGAGCTACAAACTACCATCGCCGCCCTCGCCCTCGCCCTCGGCCGCGTCTCCGTTTCCTGTCATCTCTTGAATCATCCTCGCGATTGCTCTCCTGTCCGGTGCCAGAAGGACCGGCATAGCGCCAAAAGCTGCCGGTTCGCAGCTCCATGCGAGGGTCGCCGTCGGAGGGCAGGAAGGACATGCCATATCTGGGAAGCAGAAGGAGGTTTCGTGGACCGTGTGCGCCGTCATTCACCTTGACGTTCACACGTCTCGTTACTCTGACCGTTTCGTTTGTGCTCGGGACCAGAGCGTCAAACTCACCCATGGTCCGGACAAACAAGCTGCCGTAGGCCTGATGAGGCTTCAAAGGCAACAGCCCAGCTTTGTGAAGCCATTTAAGCTTTTCAGAGAAATCACTGCGAACCACGTCTATCGGAGCACCGGCATGATGTGCGCCATCTTGGACACAATTGACGCTGCAATCAAACGCGCGCCAGAGCATCAAGGCAAGGGCATCCTGTAAAGAATCGAACTCTCCCACTCTGCAGTCGAAATGTGCAATGATGTCGTCAGGGAGCTGCAGCCCACGCTCCTCTGCCATCTGTGCTAACTTGCGATTGAACAAGGCGGTGACGACGCTGGCACCGATGCTCAGCCATTTCTGGACCCGGCCCCCGTGAGGCCAGTCCCGTGCCGCTCCAGCTGCTGTTGTGAGACGTGGGGTGAGTAAAATCGTAATCTCGTCGCTGTGGGTGTAAGCTAAGTTGCCTTTGAACTCATCCAGCATGGCTCGGCAGCAAAGCTGCATGATTTCACCGAGGTCATCCGAATAGCCCGGTCCGATCAAACCAGCCTCTCTCATGCGCTTGGTCAGAGTACCAAACATGCAGCCATCCAAGCGGATTGTCACCCACTTGTCGCCATGTAGTGACTTTGGTGTCTCGAATGCCGTGACCAACCTTCCCAACTCTTGCCAAGCAGGTCGAGGTGTCGGCGGTCCAACTTCGTGCAATTCTGAAGGGATATCCACACTGGCTGGCTCGCGGTCGGCTAGAAGATTCCAGAGTTGCTCATACTTCTGTGCCAATTCGCTTGTACCGTGGGATCTTTCCAGTTCCGGAGGTATGTCATTCGACGCTTCTGTCAGGTCTCGAGCTCTTCGCTTGACCGTCCCAGCTTGCCGCCTTGCAGACCGGATAGCTCCTGTATGAGCAAAAACAAGGGCAGTCGGTCGGCTGAATCGCAGGGCCAGAACGACGCTCAAGGCCAGCAGCTGCAATGTATGGGTGCAAGCCCTGCCATGGCTTGCGCAACGGAGACCTTGCATCTGCGGCTCCCTGCTACTATCTCCGTATCGTGCTTTCAAACTTGCTACACTAGGGCTACACCGCAACCATTGAACTCGCTCCTGTGAGATTTGATGTTTCTCTTCGGCGCTTCGGCATGTGCATTCCAGCAGCTTTAACGGGACCGACCAAGCATGTATAGTCACATAGTATAGTCTCTGACACAACTGCGGCTTGTCGGCATGCACCGGGTGCCGTCGAGCAATCCTTTTCGGATTACAATTGCACAGCCGCTGTGGCCACGTACGTCCTGATCAGCACACTTGCCACCCTGCTGGTTCTGAGGGAGTGAAGAGTACGTAGTAATCACGTAGGTTTGGTCCTGACCCAGCGGAAGTCGATGTCATCCCAAGCATCATCCCATGCACTCAACGATTCCTGGTCACAGAATGAGCATGTCTGCATCTCTGGTTTCACATCGATTGGACAAGGCTTGGACAGTTGCACCCTCTCCAACAGTGAAATTAACAGTCTGCTGCCGATTGACAGAATCAGAAGTACCAGTGCTATCCCCAACAACTGAAGATTAACTGTCCCCCAACAGAGGAACAACGACTTTTGAGAGAGGTTTTGAAGTCCATAGAACTCCGGGCATTTTCACCTCGGGTTGGCGAATGGAAGATTTGTACACTGGTTTTGGAATTCGACGTCTGGCCTGCGACTTATTCACCATGTCACCAGGTGATGTTCCCAAGTTTCTCTGACCAATGGACGTTGGATTTGCACGTCACTATACTTTTCAAAACCCATGCCTTGTGCAGGAGCCGCCGGCAACAGGTGACAAAGACGTATCATGCTCAAGGCTAGCAAGGACCCCATCTCTTGAACCGCATTCTTTCATCCGGTCCACTCACCACCGATGTGACGAACTCACCCGGGGAGTCGCGACATGAACTCGTCAAAACCCACCGATCCACAATCGCGGCTAATGCCCCTCCCTTCCCCCTCTGGGAGACCCTGGCCTATTCTGTATTCGTAGAGGGAAAGACGAGTTGCTTTCGGCCCCAGCGAGGCGCATGCTGGTACTAACTAACCATCAAATGTAAACGATGCCAGCTTTTTTTCATGGCGGTACAGCAAGAACCTGCGCACAAGCACGAACAACTCTTCCGCAGCGGCACTTCCAGCCCGTTTGCCTCACTCTCGAGATGGACGCCGCATGCCTCCTCGAGTGTTTCGAAGAACTGCGCGTCGGTCACCTCCACACTTTTCCATGCAACACAAGCCTCTTCTCAGAGATGGCGAAGGGGTGAGAGACCTCTGCACCGTCACGATGCTGATAAGCAAAGACCTCTCATTAAGCCCATGAAGCTCTGAACAGGAGATATCTGCATATTTCTGCCATGAAGAGCAGTCAGAGAAGAATCGCATCCGAGGCAAGGACGACTCGGCCTCCAGGTCGCGCGAGCACGCGCTTCAACACGGCTTGCAAAGACTGCCAGACCTTCAACGCAGGTCAATCTTCGCGCTGCGGCTAGATCGCATTCAAGAATGGATCCATCAGAGAAGGGCAAATTAGCGGCTATAGTCTCTTTCTGAGTCCGTGACAGAGGACAGATTTGCTACCGTTCTGCTGCGCAACAACTACTGCTGAGACATCTTTATCTTTGTCAAGGCTTACTGAATCTGATTTCGCCGAGCGGCTGCAACCCACTAGATGTACCCGTTGTTAGGCGCAAACGTGTGCAAACTGCATCCATGCACCATAGCTACCGCGCCTGCTGAGGTTGCTGGTAAACCACTTCACAGCACAGAACCAGATCGAAGTGACCTGGACAAACCCCATACAGCTAAACACAAGCTTCTCTCGCCGCAGTGGCGCAGCGGCGAAGCCAAGCAGCGCTCGTCCCTGGCCTCGTTCTTGGACCAAGGCCTCGGCTTCAGCCTCCCCCCAAAGAAGAGGCCGGACCTCTGCATCTATCGCAGACTCAAGCAAATGTCGAGACCGTTGGCACTCTTCAGCCGCCAGCAATGGCTTCTCCAGCTTGTGTTTCGGCTGGATCCGCCTTAGGCAGGGAACTGTCACCTTTACCGCCATATTGGATAAAGCCGTGTACAAGCCTTTCGGGTCGCATCAGCGAGGCAATGCAAGGCAACATTCCTGAAAAATTTGTGACTTTCGTTGGCCAAGGTTACCTACCAAGATGTGAAAAGGCAATGACCCAAAACATCAAACTCTTCCTCTTGCCTGGATAACAACGGGATGACGCGGGGCACGTCGGTGAAGGTGACCTGCAGTGATTGGCATCACAACATAGAAATGTATACTCCATACTCAAAGTGCACCGAGCGAGTGAGCCAGGCCGCTGGCGCTCTTTGCTCCCATCCCTCGTCACACGCAAAATCAAACACAGCGCCCGCCAACTCACGGAGGCAGGATGAGCATGGGCCAATCGGCTGGACCACACCACAATGAAGTGAGCTTTGAAAGGGGCATAGATACGTGGCATATGGCATAAGTTCAGACAAGGCGCGGTGCACCACGAGCCCCACGAGGCCGGTCCCGGCACCTACATCCAAAGCTCGTGTACCTGGCCAAACAGGTCATGCACTGTCACACAGCGACTGGTTACAGCCAAGTGACCTTCCAAGCCGTGCTTCTCGCCTCGATTCTGAGGTAGCATGAGTTAGCTCGAAAAAAAGCTTCTGCGATCGTGCTAGAACGTGGGAGCGGGAACCTACTGGACCGATACATTGCAAACTCCACGAGCTACCAGTAGCAACATTCAGGGCCAGTAGCAACATTCAGGGAAAGTACCCAGTGCAGTTTCCGCGTCAGCAGATACTCTTACAAGAAGTGCCCAATCTGCGAATCCAAGTCATCTCTTAAGTGAGCTCTTACCACGAATACTTGGCATTGACGAGTGCTAATGCGGGTTCCCGATTAACAACCCCCCCCCCCCCGCTGTCAAGGTCTGACCTCCATGACCTTGTTCATGG